GATGCAATCCAGGGGATTGTGAGGTCTTAGTGGTTTGCGGCTCATGCCTTATTGTAGAATAATGTTGTTTAGAAAAATAAATAAAAACCTAAGCTCTCATGTAATTCACAGTTTAATAGGACCGAGCAAATGAGACGGTGGATGGCTCTCTGGAAAACGCAGTGAGAGGAAATTAGCTGTGCTGCCTTAGCGTTCATGTTACAGTAGATTGAACATGTTTTGCGAGAGGCTCAACGTTCTAAAATTCTTGCCTCATTTCAATAAAGGGCTTGATAAAAATATATGCAGCAAAGACCGTTGGCAGGTTTTGCTGCAGCAGGTTTGCAAACTGCCACGCTGCCTCCAAATAACTCTTTGTTCCTCTGAAAACCTGGCACCTTTCAAAGGCTCGGTAGCTTTAATGAGCCACTGTGTTGTGCCAGTGGTGGCTGCTGGGTGTCAGGAATGGTGCTCATGATAATGTGTCCAGCTGAGTGCCGACTCTGTGTTTCCTACAGTTGTGGAAATAAAACCATTTTGGGTGTTTTTCCACTTACAAAGGGTGGACCTTTTAAAGGAAATAAGCACTTTAGAGATGTTTTTATGGAAATATTTGGAAAAATTTATAACGTTGTGTCATTCTACACCTTCATGTGGCATTCTAATGCAAATACAACTAAGCTGTCACTTTCTCTCAGCTGAGTGTGCTTCGGTCTACCAACAGCTGCAGAGACCCTGACGGTCCATCAAAGACAGGCCGTTTAGGGGAAAAATGCTGAATGAAAAGATGAAATGACTTAAGAGGTCATTTGCATGGCTCATATTTGGCCTCTTCAGCTTTGAAGACAAGAAGGCATGAAAGGAGGTAGAACATCAGTAGGTAACTAGGTTTCTCTGAGGAGAAGGAACAGCTTTCTTTCTTTTTACCGCTTCCTTTAGTACTTGAGGAAATGGCCCTTCTCTTACCAGCATTCTGCTTCACAAAGGTAATCAATTCAGCTTTAAATGGGTGGAAGACAACCCTTTAGAAAGTTCATCAATCTGAGCCGGTGTCTGCCAAAAGCAAGCACAGCGTGTGCTTATTAATGCCTCCCCATGTCGTTGGCATGTAGAACGTTTATTTGTGCCGGGCATCCAGCCTTTTCATCAAAAACTGAAACAAGATAAATGTTTTTTTTTATTTTATTTTAAATGTTAAATAAAATTTTAAACTTTTTTCTTCATTAAAGCTACTTTAGTGAACCTACAGAACAAGCTAACAACGTAAACACGGTCATGGACCCAGGAAGTGCGTAAGTGCTGTGCTTTGGCCACACTGACAACCGGATGGTCCAGTAGTTGCTTTTGGTCCGAAACGTGTTATTGGCAGAGGTTTTTAGACGGATGCTAAAGAACCACTTTCTTAATATTTTCTTTTTTTTTATCTCCATAATATATTTATAGCTATACTATGCTAGAATGTTAAGTGGCATGAAAAAAAGCTCAGTATTGGCAACTTTACCGATATACCAATATTTTCATAGCAATACGTGCTGTCACCCTCTCATAAAAAAGGAGTAACTAAAACATTTTAGGTTACCAACAAGTGGCATCTACTTCAATTTTTGTTAGTAATAGGAAAAGTGCCATGTTTAATTTGTCTACAACAGCAGATGAATCTCATTCTCCATAAATGTGATGCAGAGATGTGTATATTAGTAATATATTTCTGTAATTTGCAACTATGGTGATGACACGTTTGTAAAGATCTTCAGAAAAGCAAGCCTTGGGTGAGGATTCCTGTTTTTGTTTGTTGTTTGTCACTGCAGGCCAATTTTCTACTTCACATTGTCCTAAATAAACAAAAATATCACAAACTAAACCATATTTTGACATTTTGAGTGAGGGGAAGTTGCTGAAGAGTTTGATGTATAATATGTGAATCGTGTGTAAAAATAGTTCCATTACGAGACTGAAAACCGATAGATATTTTCTGGTTTGAGATTGTAATGCCGATTTCAGCTGATATTAATGGCAAACTGATGAGATCTCAAGTTTTAAGCTAATTTGTTTTCTAAATTTGTCATTTTAACTTTAACACTCAGTATCCAGGACACTTTACCACTGAATAGTGAAGTAATTTTCATTTGGTATATCAATGATTGTGGTGCAGAAATCCACATTTTATATCCTCAGATTAACTTTGTTTGGATTTACATGAAGTAGAACATAACTATTTTCACAAAGTTTTTCCTCTCACATTTAGCAGAAGAAAACAAAAAGGGGAATTTGAAACTGGCCCGCAGTTCTAGCATTCTGGTTACCTCCTATGACTCTCTCCCAGGATCGTAAATTATGGCGCGGTATGGGGGCCAAAATTAAGACTACTGCCCAGCACCAGGAGGCTATATAAATTCCGAAGCAAACTACTGATCTGATTAATGATAAGCTGGCACCGGTAAGTGAGGGGCTGGCGCTGCTTACTGAGGAATAGCACCTTTACCAGCGTTATTACTAGATACGCTAGGGACTAGCAGCCCTCGGCTGGTCATTGACTGGTTCAAACAATCCCTCTGCTGTCTATTAGCATGGATAGGCTAGCATTAGCCTAGACGGGCTGGTGATAGCATTGGAGAGGCTCTCAAAAGTTACGGTAATACTTAGAAGCAACTCCGCTTGTTTTGTTTTGACTTCCTACGTGAAACCTGAAGTCTGCATGTTCAGTCGAGTTCTTACATTAAGAGTTAAAACTAATTTGGAGCCATTTTTCTGGTTTAGCATCGGTTTTGATAATTTGGACTCGAGCTCTGAATCCCACATTTTTGGTGCACCTGAAGTGAAGAAACCTTAAAGTCCAGTCACTCCCGGGGAATGGGATTCTCCTGAACTCAACAGACTTCGTTGACCAACTCGGGGTAAAAATCTTACAGTCCCGGAAGCCTCTTCATGAACAAGGAATCCAAGGCTACCTTAGCCCTTTGGCCACCCTCTGGCGACGAGAAGAAAGGTCTGTGAATCATTTTCATCTGGCTGACTTTCCTGTTTAGCTCTCAAGATTTACCTTCTTTGTCTGCCACAACGAATCCTTACACACACACACACACACACACACACACACACACACACACACACACACACACACACACACACACACACACACACACACACACACACACACACCTATCACTGCCATAAAGCTTTGGGTTAACAATTTTCTTAATTCCATGCATGAAACTATACGCTGTGTTTGGTCCTTTTGTCAATGTCCTTGATGTAATAAATTCACAAAATGTAAATAACGCCTGATCATTGTCTAACAATTCTCGGGATAATCGGCGCATTCTGTCAAGAATTCATCCTTTGGATTAATTTGTGGTGTTAACGCTGAGGTTGATTAAATTGCAAAGATATAGATATTAAATCCAACGGTCCAGTTCCGAAAACTGGTGGTGCCCCAATTAATTAATATAACATTACAAACAAGCTAAATCTTTGCCACATTTGAAATATAGATGTAAATCTATATTTATCGCTACAATTACGTTCATGTGTTTTGGACTGGTGAAAACCAATTCCCTTACTTTTCACTGATTGAGTCATACATGTGTAAATTTGTGATTGCTTGATTGGATTTTATAGTTTTTCCATATTTAAATTTTCAGTCCAGTGTTTTTTTTAATACTGACTTTAAATTGTTTTACGGTAAACAACACACGTTAAAATATGTAGATCAAAAATGAGAATTATGTTTAAATATTAGAAATGTTGGTACATTTACCCACTTTTCCTTTTCCATGCAGGTTGGATGGATGTAAAGCTGCAGCCTTCCTAAACTACTAATATTCAAAAATAAGCTCAACTGATTTTTGTTTTTGCAAAGAGAAAAATGACAGTATTAAAGCTAAATTACTCTCTAATATAAATTATTTATACTAAACTGTTTTTGGGGTTAACAATGATTAACCTGTTTTTAATGAAGGTGCCTTGAGGTTTTTGCTTCCCTATGATGAACTTGTTTTCTTAATTCAGTGACTTTTGGGTGGAATTTAAAGAGCTTGGCACAAAAAGGTCTGCATATTTCAAAGGGGACCTTGATTTAAATTGTTAGATATCAGCTATATTGCATCAGTGGGAATAGAAGAGGAAGAATGGATGAGATGTTTGACCTTTTCAGATTTGTCCCTGGCTGGTGAATTTGCTGGAGGGTGCTGGGGCAGGAGCAGCAGTGCGTTGAATTATCACTCCCACTGTTCAGATGCTACAGACCTGATCTCCCACTTGCTTCCCTCCCACCACTAATGGGTTAGGAACACACTCAGGGAAAAAAGAGAAAGGAGATAGCAGTAGCGAGTAGGAGGAGGGACTTTCAGCGTGCCCGGCTGTCTGTGGGTTAAGCTTAAAAAACAAATGACCGTTTTCGCTCGGCGCTGAAGAGACTTGGAGGCAGGTCACATTGTAGAGTCGAATCTTTCACAAAAGCCCGTGTCATTCTGCAGCGTGATCGAGCCGAGTTTCTGACAGCTACCGGCAAGGAAACATGTCAAGTCTCTGATGGATGCTTTCTTTATCGAAAGGCTATGACGACTTTTTAGTTGACTGGGCTTTCACTAAACTCCCCCCTTCTTTTCCAAATAAAAGCAGCACCAAGGAGGCAACAAGATAAGAGCAAACTTGACAAAATGCTTTATGCTAGTTTTCGAAGTCGCGCAGGATGTCATGTCATTGTTAGAGGAAAGCAGCTGTCAGAAACACAATTGTCTGGGCAAATGCCTTTGATGGAAAAGAAGAAGAAGAAGCTCCTGAAAGCTTTTAAACATGTCCATGCAGGAAAAAACTGCAGCATCTTTTTACATCTGCTTCACTCAGCTTCATAAATTCTCTACTGTGACTGTTCACCATCCGCTGTATGAGGTTTGAAATGAACTCCAACAAAAGTCATATCTTCTTTACCCACTATCTCATGTTTTCACTGTAACCCCAATGCCATCACCTCATTCTGGATCTTCTCTGTTCTTCTCCACCCCTCTCCTCATGCCATCCAGAATCCATCATGTGCGACGTAGGGGAGTTTCATTGTCACGATCGCCAAGCCTGCATACCCGAAGCCTGGCTCTGTGATGGTGAGCCCGACTGCCCCGATGGTTCAGACGAAACTGGTCATGTTTGTAAGTCACCCATTCCATCCATTTCTCCCTAATAGAGTTACAGTACACCGCCTTTCTTTAGAGCAGGTCTCAGCTGCATGATGCACTCACTCAGACTAACAAAAACAAATAAGAATCCAGATTTAGATATTCTACATGAATCCATCGTATTTTTCTTCTACATAAATCTAATCCTAACCCTAATAGAGCCTTTTAAAATTGTAGAAAATTGAAAAAAAAATTTAATCTTATGTCTGATTATAATCTGTTGCTCTGAAGTTTCATGCAGACTGAACATTAAAATAGTCTTCTACCTATCTCCTGCATTAGCTTCTAATAGAAAATAGATGGTGAAACTCTAGGATTTGATAAGCCTCACAGATCCACTCTCACCTAAATGATTATTAGGAACACCTGTTCAACTTCTCCTTAACTCATTCACTGCCAATTACGACTAAAGTCGTCATTTACATTTTTTTACTGGTTGAGCATCGGAACGAGCCCCCGCGCTGAGAACAAACATCTCAGCCATGAAGCCGATCTTCATCCGCATACGTCACAGATCACATGATCAGGAAGCAACACATCCATGTGTTAGGAGATCGTTTTGGGCCGTTCCTGTAAAAAAAGTGAGGCGCAAACCAGAAAAGCCTCTGCCGATCACAATTCGACAACGGATTATGAAAGAACGGATAACGCTTGAAACACACGGCTTCTTCCTGATGTAAGAGGTGAGTCTCCTCTTTGTTTTGGTTGTTTTGGCATCGACATCATGCTAGCGCGCAACGTTCTGTGACTCTCAAAAAAACAGTAAAAACGGTGAGAAACGCTGGCAGCAAAGGCCGTTAGTGATCAGGAAACGGCTGGCAGTGAATGAGTTAATGCGATTATGTGATCAGCCAATCACACGGGAGTTGCTTCAATGCATTTAGGGGTGTGGTCCTGGCCAAGAACATCTCCTTAACTCCAAACTGAATGTCAGAATGGGGAAGAAAGCTGATTTAAGCTATTTTGAGCGTGGCGTGGTTGTTGGTGCCAGACGGGCCGGTCTGAGAATTTCACAATCTGCTCAGTTACTGGGATTTTCACCCACAGCCATTTCTAGTGTTTACAAAGAATGGTGTGAAAAGGGAAAAACATCCAGTATGCGGAAGTCCTGTGGGTGAAAATGCCTTGTTGATGCTAGAGGTCAGAGGAGAATGGGCCGACTTATTCAAGCTGATAGAAGAGCAACTTTGACTGAAACAACCACTCGTTACAACCGAGGAATAAGTAGGGGTAAGTATTTGTGAAGCCACAACATGCACAACCTTGAGGCGGATGGGCAATAACAGCAGAAGATCCTACCGGGTACCACTCATCTCCACTACAAAGAGGACAAAGAGGCTACAGTTTGCATGAGCTCACCAAAATTGGATAGTTGAAGACTGGAAACATGTTGCCTGGTCTGACGAGTCTCGATTTCTGTTGAGACATTCCAATGGTAGAGTCAGAATGAGAACATGGATCCATCATGCCTTGTTACCACTGTGCAGGCTGGTGGTGGTGGTGTAATGGTGTGGGGGGTGTTTTATTGGCACACTTTTGGCCCCTTAGCGCCAACTGGGCATCTTTTAAATGCCACAGGCTACCTGATCATTGTTTCTGACCATGTCCATCCCTTCATGACCACCATGTGTTAGGGTTGTCAAGTTGTGAAAATTTAACCTCACTGTTATTGTGACCAAAATTACCACGGTTTTCGGTATTATCGCGGTATTTTTTTTTAAACATGCTACATTTTCACACAAATAAACCCTGTATGTTAGGAAATATTGTCCTCAGTTTGTGTCTAAATTTTGCCTAAAATGTGTTATTTTGTAATTATGTTGTTTATTTGTTTACATTTTTTCCCTTTAGTCTTTAAAATACCAATATTTGCCCATAACTTCTTATTTTTTGTCTATTTGATGTCATCATTTAAAAATATTAGTTCAGATGATGCTCAGTACTCAAGTAGCCTTCTAATCAGATACTTTTTTTTACCCTTACTTCAGTAATAAACCCTATATCAGGAAAATATTGTCCTTGGTTTGTGTCTTTCCAGTGAGATTTACAGATTTGGGAAAATGTCATAAATTCATAATTATTCTCGGAGAGAGACCAACTCTTATCTGCCCCTGGGAGCCCCGTAATGCATAGCGTCATTTCAACATGGGTGTGTCCGCGACACGGTTTATATGCAGGTAGCGGCGCTGCGGCTGCTTCATATAGCGATTCGTTGCATTCTCCCTCGACCCAAATCCTCGGATCACGTATTTTAGCTAAAACGCTAACGTTAGCTTGCCTTGCGTTGACTGTAGAGTTGTGGGTGATGGTCACGCAGATGTGTCATGAGATTTGAAGCGTTGCTGCCTTTCACAGACACTTTTTCTGCACGTGCTGCAAACAGGATAGCCGTCTTCTATCAACTGTCCCTCTGCATTCTTCAGATATCCAATAGATGCCCGTACTTCCCACTTTGTCTTCTTTGAGGGATAAAAAAATGTCCTGAGCGCTGCCGTCTCCTCCTTTGGCCATTATTTCAGCTTTAACTTCAAGAAAGTTTTGGTTGTAAACATCAAAGCGCGCATGTGCCGCCGGCAACTTCAGCAGATGATACGGTGGCTGGTAAGGGTCACCGCGCCTACACCGCAGCCACGGTAATCCACCGAGATAATATTTTTTTTTAAAAAACAAGACGGTTATTATTATTGTCAACTTTTTTACAGGGGTTTACCGCTACACTGGTTACCGTGACAACCCCACCATGTACCCATCCTCTGATGGCCACTTCCAGCAGGATAATGCACCATGTGAAAAAGATCCAATCATTTCATACTGGTTTCTTGAACATGACAATATGGGCCAACATTTCTAAAGAATGCTTTCAGCACCTTGTTAAATCAATGTCACGTAGAATTAAGGCAGTTCTGAAGGCGAAACACCATATTAGTATGGTGTTCCTAATAATCCTTTAGGTGAGTGTACGTCACACTGTCATTTAGCATTTATGGACTCACCCATCTTGACTCACGACAAGGAAGGCTGTTGTTGTTTTAGCATCCAGGAACCTGCAGAGAACACCTTGAGAAGCTAACTGTTAGCATTAGCAATGTCACCACACATCAGATCTCCTCCAGGCTTGTGTTATTTGTAGAGATAAAACATCCATGTTGCAAGTCAGTGGTAGAGTTGAGTGGCTGTTATTCAATCCAAGGTGAGACGTCTAAATATGAGAAAATAAGACGCCAAATCCTACTTTCTGAAGCTCAGCTGGAATGTGGCTCACTTCTAGTTCCTGGAAATGGTGCACAGGTGTACTTTTATTATTAAGATTTTCAGTACATTCTGGAATGAGCTGTGAGTAAACAAACTGGGGCTGGCCACGCCCACCCATCGTCCACTCAGACTGCTATAAGCTGAGAAGCTCTGGTATATGGGAGGGGTTTAGAATGGAGCCACTGCTCTTGTAGCTTTAACAAGTGAGGGGGTGGTTCTATGCAATGTTTCCTGTTTGTGATGTCACAAACAGGAACTTTTTGAAACTGCTTGACACATACATTCTTAACCCTCCCACTGTCTTAATGGGCGTGACTCCATGAGGAAAGTTGACCATTGAGCAGGGTTGATGGTTTATTCCTTGGGTCCATGTGGCAGGGGTGAGGAGTGAGCACCACCTCACCCCTGCCATGTGGACCTCAAGGGATAAACCATCAGTCCTGCTCAATGTTCAACTTTTCTTGCGGGGTCACCCATAAAGACAGTGGGAGGGTTAAACAGACAGAAAATAGATGGAAGAGGTTTTTTTTTATGTTTGCAATGTTTATAGAGGCAGTAGAGACCCACAGAGAAGCAAAAAATGATGCAATGATGCAATTGGTGAGTTTGGTATAAAATCTCCCCAAACAAAAAAGAAAAACCAAAAACAATCATACTTCTGAAATATTGTGTAAATAAACTTTATGCTTGCCTTAGGTCAGAGTGAAATAATCCTTGGGAAAATGAAATATAAAGCAGATCATTTACAAAACTCTGAGTGTTTTACAAGGTGAATTAAAAGTTTTTGCAAACAACAACTTCAGTTTAACAACAAACCAGAGCAGTCAAACATAGCTGCATGAGAGTATTAGCAGGGTTGGATCACTCTGTGAACAAGTAAAGAGAAATGCTTTAATGTGCCGTGATTATTCTGACTACAATCAGCCAAACCTCCACTTGTCCTTCACTTTGGAATTATTTGTGGCATGAATGCTCTTAGGGATTGTAATTTACCCACTTCTCTGACATAGATTTCCTATAATGGAGAAACGGAGCAGCATTATAGTCTTATTGAGGCTTTGTAGATTATGATGAGCCTGCGACTGTCACACAGTTTATCAGAGCTAAAGAACAAATAAAGCAGCAAAATTAAATTATTAACATTCAGCTCAGGTTCGCCATTGGTGTGAGTTATTGGGGATAATTAGGACTTTATAGTTTTGGCATTGACATCTGTGCAGAAATACCAGGCAGTGCACAATAATTATTAATGCTCGGGTGTGCGTAGGGCTGTGTATCAAGTAGGCTGCTTTGAGATGATGGTGCATATCACTGGAAAAGACTGAGGCATAGCTGCTCATCTGAAAATGAAATAATTACACATTTAGCAGCTGTTGTCATGCTCTCTAAGAAAGTAAAAGGACAACATTTTTCACAACCTCATGACCCATGAAGAAGAGCATGATCCTGAGTACACTTTATTTATTTATTTATTTATTTATTTATTTATTTATTTCCTTTCAATACTACAAAAGTAGAAATAGGCATTGTGCGATTGCCTGCTCGGTCTTCACTTTTTTTATTAAGAGTTGCTGTAAGTTTTGAGCATCTCCGTAACATCTTGGCTTGTTTCCCGTTATCTCTTAATTCATCTCACGTCTGGACAAATTTACAAGAACGATCACCAAGAAGCATCCAGAGGCACCATTGCTTAGCTAACATGGCATTTGCACAGGGCCAAA